CGGCGTCGACGGGTTGGCGAAAGGGCCAAGCAAACTGGTGCTTCCACAGAGCCTTCATCACCACTTTGTGCAGATACTGCAGCTGGTTGGTGACCCGACCCGGCTTCTTGGGGTTGGAAACCTCCGGCGGAGGCGGGTTCACCTGGGGGGATTGCAGGGCCGGCACCGACGCCATGGTGGGGCTCTCGAAGCCCTCGTAGAGGAGCGAGGGTTTGCGGATCCGCTTGCCAGGGGTCGACTCCGTCGCCAGGCCCATGAGCCCGGCATTGCCCTCCCCCAGAATCCTGAAAGGGGAGCAGAGAAAGTGTTAGCGGGGCAGCTCCGCGCCGGGGTGCCGCACCACCGCCTTGGCCAAAAAAAGAAAAAAAAAAAAACAAAACGGGGCTGGGCCATGGGATTCCTGGGAGAAACCCCCAGAAGGAGCCAACCGCTCCTGAAGCCGCGATTAAGGGTGGAAATGTTGCCGCGCTCGGCTACGGCGTGGCAGAGGGACACGATCCGATTCCCCGGGATGCGGGTGAGCTCCCATTGCCCGTCTCCCCAGGGGGATTTAGCCGTGAACTCTGGCTGCACCCCTCAATTGCTGCCAGGCGAGCGCCCGGTTCCCTGCCGGTGCCAGGAGAGCCGTCCGCGCCAGCGCAGCCGGAGCCGAGAAGTTGGCACGGGTCCAGGCTCGCCCTCGAACAAAGAGCCGACGCGCGGGGCCGCGCGCGGAGGTGCCGGCGTGGTGACGATACCCCTGCGCGTCGAGGCGACGGTGACACTGCCGGTGTCACCCTCTCTCCCTGAGGCCACGGCGGGGAGCTCCGGCAGGGTTTGGGGATGCGGTGAAGCCCCACGGCACGGTTGTACCGTTACATCAACGCCAGGGCCAAGATCGCGGGCGGCTCGATGCCGTCCTGGTCGCAAGGACCCGAAACCACCCACAGGGACGGGCCAGGACTCAGGGGACCCACAGTCCCAGGGAGGCGGCGGAGGTGTGATCACATCATGCTCACAACTGACTCTCACGCTGATTTAAGGACAAAAATCAGCATTTTATGGCAACACCCGGCATCTTACGGCACTGACCATCAACTGAGAAACAGTATGAAGCACGGAAATAGCCACGGAAGAGGAAAATTCTGTCGCAAGGCAAACCAGAAGACGCCACGGCAGCACCGGGGACACCGATGCGAAGGCTCAGGAGGTCTTCAGAGCGCACGGGCAGCAGCTAAAACCAGCTCCTGCCCAAACCCCTGAGCCTCTCACGCACCTAAACCTGAGGCGGGGGGGAAAACCCCCCTCACCATAAGCTGACCCACGGGTGACTGTCACCCACAGGCCTTCACGACCGTCACCCAGCGCCCGCCAGCCTCAGCTGGGTGTCAGCGCTTGGCACAGCG